GATCGGGAAATGTCTGATTCCCGGCCTAGTTTCTCGTGTGCTGTGCTGCGACCAGCGGTGCCACCAGAGATTTCGTCCGTGACAATGTGTTCGAGTGTACCAAGGCTTCCAGTGTTTGAAAAGTCCAACGTACATCGGCAACAAGCGATTTCTTTAAAAAAGCCCAAGGAATTCATGTGATGCGTTTAGTGTTCGGTTTAGCAAATTACTTTTTCTGTCACATCGTGTTGAATCTTCACAGACCCCTTTCTTTCCGTGTTTGTGTTTGTGTGGTTCTGCAGTGCCCGTGTCAACATCTTTCTCGGATTACATATTTCAAGTCCGATATTTTCATCGGAAGTGCGCTGCAACCTACTCCTTTGTAGCAATTGACCATTCCGTTCCTGATTACAACTAAAATTAGGCAGTGTCTATTTCCTAGCAGCCGGGAGAATAATTTCCCCGAAATTCTATCGGCAGTCGCCTGCCATTAGCTGTCTACAATCATGTGGTAACTGCAGGTGACTTTCTTATTCTCCCGGCGTTTTGTGAATACGCGTTTCATGGACACCTTTTCGTTGATACACGTTTTCTAGACACGTTTCGTCGACAGTGACGTTTCACGGTTACTCGTTACGCGAAATACACGCTGTAGGGACATTTCGTCGTGCGTGTGTCTCTGAGGCCCGTGCTCACCGACCCAGCCCACCCGTTCACATCGGTTCGTGGCGACAGTATGCGGCGGCTCATTAAAAAAAATGTTCACCCTACCTGTGATACCCGTGGATATCACCTCGCGCACATAGCCTGGGGCGGCTCATTACAAAAAAAAAAAAGATGTTTATAGAGGAAAGCTAACCTAAGCTGTCGATGACACGTCGTTCGATGAAGTGATTATATCGCCAATGAGTGATGACTGCCGGCACGATATCGGGTAAATAATTCTGCCGGCTGCTGAGAGAATAGACACTACCTAAGAATCACCCCGGTTCTTGTTCGCTCGGTAATCTCCTCAGCTGTGTAACAGCTTTGTTGTACATCTTCACATATCGCAGATCGCTTGCACGTTTGTACTTGTTTACGGAATAGGCTGTCTAATAAACTTATAGGAGATTTGAAAACAATCCGTTGTGTCTGTTTACCTGCCTTTTTGCAACCCCTGGGCGCGTACATTTTTTACAGGTTTCCTTGAGGTGGGTGCACAAAGAGGTGTAACGGTACATCATTGAATGAGGTGTATGTATGTTCCATATGAGCGGGGTGGGTGTAAAAAACAGTGTAATAGTAAACCCTGTTGGCGGGTGTGTCTCCGTTCCCTATGAGCGGGGTGGGTGTAAACAACGGTGTAATAGCAAACCCTGTTGGTGGGTGTAGAGAAGGGAATACTTGTACACCTTAAATTTGGGTGTACCTGCACACCGAAACGACAGCGAGAGTGTAAGAAAGGAGTAGTGACACACCCCAGTATGGGATGTATCTGTGCGCCCCCAATTGCTGAAGGTGTATAAAAGGGTGCACATATGCACCCCTAAAGAGGGTGTATATATGCACCTCGTTTTGAGGTGTACTGGTACACCTTTATGGGTGTACAAGTACACCTCTTACCGCGCTTACACCCCCTGTGGGTGTACCCTCTACACCCTTTTTTTAGAGTGTAGAATGACAGCCTCCTCTGCTGAAGGCCAGGCTTCATGAAACACTGTCAAGGCTGTTCATGGTAAGGTGTTCTATATATTGAGCAATATAATAGCAACTTATTGCTGCTAAGATTGTTTTTAACAGAGACTGTGTTTATGGACTGGCCTTTAGCAATTTCGATGCCACTCGCGTGGAATGAAATCCTGTAGGGGAATTGCGCATTCCATTCGTAAGAGGAATGCTGAGTTTACAACAGAAGTGCGTCTCGACTAGCTGCCAGTATTGCTGTGTGTTGTGTTTTTTTTTATTTGTCTATTTAGTGTTCCAATAATGGCTGAAGCCTTCCCATTGGTGCGCTTGTTAGTGGCAACACACAAACACGAATGAACGGCAAGGGTGGTGAACAGCGTCACTCACGCTGTTCGCCACCGCACCCATTGATTTTCGGAGAAGTTTGCAGCATTGGTTTATGGTACTTGGTCATATATCGCACTTGAACACAACCAGGGCACTGTGCCTACAATAAACCTTTTGCGAAATCCCCCAAGCGCCCCGGCCCGCGCGCGAGGAATCGTGGGAGACTGTCCCTCGCCCGGCCGCTCTGCCTTGAGATCGTATTGCCTTGTCGCTTGTCTCCTCTTAATGCTCTGTTTTCGAATCCATTACCTATTTTTATCTATTCCAGTGTATTTTTTATTGCTTCTGGGTGTTTCTGTTCTCTTCTGCGCGCAATATTTCTTGTATGTATATAGTATTCGTGTCCTTATTTCGCCTTTTTCGACGGGAGTGCCGACGGACAACACGCCGCTTCGCGCGTCATTTCCTGAGTGAGTATTACCGTTGCTACCGATTCTTATCGTGCTGTTAGCTGTTCATTTTGGTTTATTGGACCCGCGTGCAGTCGAGAGGAGCCGTTTATGAACACCCGCGCACATGTCATAGGGGTAGGCAGAGCTCTGAATCAACAATCTCGACGCGAGAGCCCAGTGCACTGTGGTTGTGCCGCTTGTGCTTGCCCCGTTGACTCGCGCTGTGGCGTGTGCCTTCGAGTGCTGCTTACTTGACCAAGGTACAGCACGCCGCTTTGTCGCCGCGAACCATTTGTCCGAATGTTTTCGAAGCTGAGGCATATGCAACGTTGCGGCGCCTGACAACTGCGCGCTGCGGCGTGATCCCTTCGCAAACGCCGACGGTTCAATATCACGGCTTGAATGCGCCTATGGCTTGCCTTCGTAATCTACTTGCTAAGCGGTTGTCAGTTGCCAACGCCCTTTTTTCAAGTGCAGAGATGTGTTGCCGCAAATCATTTGTCCGAATGCCTGCGAAACCGTAACACCGTTCGGCATATCCAACGCTGCGGTGTTTGACAAACTGCGCGCAGCGGCGCGAGCCCTTTGCAAGCGCCAGTGGTCCAACGTCGCGGCTTGTATGCGCTTATGGTATGCCTTTTTAATCCATCTGCTAAGCGGTTGTCAGTTGCAAACACCCTTTTTAAGTGCAGATATGTCCTGTCACCCGGGCAGTCACCTTGAAACTCGTAGATCCTTCGATAATTTTATTTCTCGAGTCAAGATGCCAGCTGATGCTCGAGTTAAGATGCCAGCAACTGACAACCGCCGAGGAGACTGATCATGAATGCATGCCAAAAGCGCATACAGGTCACAATGTTGAACCGCCGGCGCTTGCTAGGGGCTCGCGCCACTGCGTGCAGTTGTCAGGCGCCGCAGCGTTGGGTATGCCGAACGGTGTTACGGTTTCGCATGCATTCCGACAAATGATTTGCGACGGCAAAGCAGTGTGCTGTATCTTGGTCACGTTAAGCGGCACTCGAAGGCATACACTACAGTGCGAGTCAACGGACCGAGCGCGGGCGGCCAAATCACAGCGCACTCGGCTCTTGCGTCGCGATTGTTGATTCAGAGCTCTGCCTACCCCTATGACATGTGTGCTGGTGTTCATAAACGGCTCCTCTAGACTGCAGGCGGGTCAAATAAACCAAAATGAACAGCTAACAACGAGATAGGAATCGGTAGCAAAGGTAGTACTCACCTGGTGAACGACGCGCGAAGCGGCGTGTTGTCCGTCGGCACTCCCGTCGAAAAAGGCGAAATAAAGACACAAATACTATATATATACAAAAAATATTGCACGCAGAAGAGAATAGGAACACTTGAAGCAATAAAAAATACACTGGTTTAGATAAAATAGGTAATGAAATCGAAAAACAAAGGATTAAGAGGAGGCAAGCGACAAGGCAATGCGATCTCGAGGCAGAGCGGCCAGGCGAGGGACAGTCTCTCCCACAATTCCTCGCGCACGGGCCAGGGGCCCTAAACTCGTCAAACACAAGGTTAAGGCCGAAGTTGACGGAGCGCGCCGATTAAACCTTCACGACGATGACTTCGCGCTTTTGTCGCCGGCGTCCAATTTGCGCGCTCCGCGAACTTGCTGCTCTAACTTTGTATTTGACGAGTTTAGGGCTCCAGGCCGCTTGGGAAAATTGCAGAACGTCTATTCAACGGTCGCAAGATTTGCGTGAATACACCCTGTGGCTGGTCGCACTTTACGAGTCAATTTGATGTTGCAAAAATGAATAATGACATTGGCATATTTCTCGTGCCAAACCCTTCACACCTTTTCGGAACTCTGATCTTCACGAGATCACAGTAGCGTCGTTTCTGTCGTAGTGGCACGGCAGACTCCATAGTTGTTTTTCTTGAATCTTTGTAAGGGTGTCGCTTTAATCCGATTCTACTCATCTCTGGTGTACTAGATAGCAGCATATTTGCAGAGATAGTCACATTTTGTAGTTCCATCGAGATATATTTCAGCTTATAAAATATTTGTTATTTGGCTTGTAAATTTTCAAGCATATCTAGATTGAAGGCAGCAAATATCTTACCTGCAGTCATGATATGTGTCCGAAGTATATTGCATTAACGTAACTGACCCAACCTCTGATTTTTGTTTTCAGTGCCACTAGCGAATTGTTGATGCTAGGATGACTTTTTTTTTTGTGTTTCACATAATCTACAACACTTTTTTCACTGTTATACTCCGTGCAGCCCTCGCCGAACGGAAGCTAGCATTGTTGAAAATAGATCAAACTGGTCGAGTACCAGCGAAGCAGTGTTGAGCAGCACAATGGCAAGCTTGCACACGAGATCGGGGCCTGCGCTCGTGGACGGCGAGCGTGGAGCTCGTTCACTTTTTTTTTTATTACCATTTCTTTTTTCGCATCGAACGCACGTCGGAATTAAAGCTCTTCAGTTTTGTGAAGCTGCCGCTGTTCCTGGGTCTTCATATCAACAATTTGGTGCCGAAACCCGGGAGTCAAGGTCGGGGACATCACACGAGAAGACTCGGCAGCGCAGTGGATCCCCATGGAAAGGCTGAAGACTAAAAGAACGAGCCGACGCGCGCAAAACACAAGACTCATCAACGAGGCAAATGCTCTCTTACAAAATCAAGATTCAACGATTAGCCAGATTACCACCGTGGCCGAAAGATTGCGCGCCAATAACGATGAGCTCAGGAGGTTGAACGAAGAGTTTGAGGGACACATACCAGATGGTTCGTTCGAAACCGAATTTCAGGCAGTCGTCCAATACGAAGATGAAGCGACTGCCACCATCAGTGCCCTCCAATGCAGAAAAGATCTCCTAGATGAGATATCGTCTCGAGGGGCCTCTAGGAAACCTAATCGTCACCCGAACGACACCCAAGGCAGCAGACAAGCTGGAACTAGGTTACCTAAGCTCACCATTACGCCATTCAAGGGTGAAATATCAAAGTGGTCAGCGTTCTGGGAACAGTTCGATGAAACAATTCACAAGAACGCCAGTCTGTCCACCAGCGAAAAGTTCGGCTACCTTCGAATGTACTTGGGCGGAGAAGCGGAAGCAGCTGTGGCTGGATTACCAAGGACAGAGACTTGCTACGCGGATGGAATTGAGATCCTCAATCGCCGTTTTGGAGACAAGAAACGATTGGAGCAGGAATATTTCTCCAGTCTGAGGTTGATTTCACCTGTCAAGTCAGCCAACGATACCTCAGGTCTACGAACGATGTTCGACCAGGTGCAAATCAATATACGAGGCCTCCAGACCTTTGGTGTAAATAAGTCAAGTTTTTCGTCGATGCTCTGCGATATTTTGATGCGAGCTCTTCCACGTGACATCGTCGTGAACTACAACAGAACCGCTCATTTGTCTGCGGCAACTGCCATGCCTGGCCCAAGCAGCCAGCCTGACCGCTCAGAACTGGATCGACTACTTGATTTTCTAGCTATCGAAGTCGAAAGTCGGGAGAAAAGCGAGTTTAAGATCACAGAAACGAAGAACACAAAGACAACAAGATATGAGGACAACATAGCTCGACGTGAATCGTCTAGACCGACCTCATCGGTGCTCTACAACAGACCCTCACCACATAAAACGAGATGCTGTTTCTGCAACGGAACAAGCCATAGTTCTGGAGACTGTTCTTCCTCTCTTCCCCTGGACCAGAAGAAACAGCGTTTGACAAACGAGATGAGATGCTTCAGATGCACTCTCAGTGGCCATCGAGCAAGAGACTGCAGACAAAAGATCAGCTGTGCCACATGCGGTGGAAGACACGCTAAGTCCATGTGTGACCCGACGCGGATCAAAGCTAAAGAAGGTAAATCGGACACACAAAACAGCATGACGGTTTGTACTACATCAATTCCCCGAGAATTCAGAGAGTCCGGAGTGGTACTTCTGCAAACCTTCCGGGCATGGGCTGTCAGCGGTACCTCATGTAGGTATGTTAGAGGTGTTATCGACGGAGGCAGCCAACAGACGTTTGTCACCGAGGATCTGTCAAGACACCTTCAGCTTAAGTGCGTTGGCTACACCAAGATGGCGCTCAACACGTTTGCTTGTGCTTCAACTCAACAGTGCAAGAAGCGTCGTGTAGTGGAGCTTGAAGTTAGAAGCCAATTCAACATGGACGGATGCAAGATCGAAGCGATCGAAATCCTAGTGATATGTCAAGACATAGCTACCTTAACGACAGATTCAGTCTTCGTAGCTGACAGGGAGAAAAATGGAAAGTTTATTGCCGATCGCCTCATGTTTCCAGCGGTTGCCGCACAACCAGGCATCAGTATTTTCATTGGCTCTGACCAAATGTGGGGCTTTATGACTGGTGAAGTCACTCGGAGTAAGACCTGCAGCACCCTTGTTGCATTAAACACAAAGCTTGGTTGGACCTTCCAAGGACGGACATCCATCCTGAAGTCGCAAAAAACCCACTCGAACTTGGTCGTCTGTGTCCTGCAGATCACCGGTACAGAACAGGTTGAAGGCGCTCTCCGATCATTCTGGGAGTTAGAAAGCCTGGGAATCACAGATTCAGAAGACCAGATGTCCGAAACAAGCCAAGTGATGCGCCATTTCGAGCAGAACATTCGCCGGTCTGGCACACAGTACGAAGTGGCACTGCCGTGGAAGGACAATATAGGTGTCCTTAAGGACAACAAGCAAGTAGCGATGACGAGACTGAGGAAACCAGTAGGTCGACTCTACAGAACTGACACTCTAGTACTTCATTACGACGAAGCAATCAGAGAGTATCTGATAGCTGGTCACGCTGAAGTGGTACCGAACGAGACAACTGGTGAAGAAGGCAGAGTATTTTACATGCCACATCGCGAAGTCATCAGAGAAAATGCGCTGGCGACACGACTTCGAGTTGTTTTCGATGCATCCTCGCACGCAGCTGGGTGCAAGTCACTAAACGAATGTTTAGAGAAAGGAGACAACCTGTATCAAGGCCTTCTTGGAATATTGCTGCGATTTCGGGTGAGCCGCTTGGCCATAATCTCCGACATCCAGAAGGCATTTCTGCAAATATCTGTAGCAAAAAAGGACAGAGATGCTTTCCGTTTTCTCTGGTTTCAAGATCTACCATCTTCGACCTTTAAAGGTGCAGAGGTGCAGACATGGAGGATGAAGAGGGTTCCTTTTGGTGCAACCTGTAGTCCATTTCTTCTGACGGCTACGATCCTCCAACACCTGAAAAATCTGCCGACTGAAAAGGAGGAAGTGGCTGACGTACCTCGTAACTCCTTCTACGTGGACGACTTGGTTACTGGCACAGCTACCGAGGAGGAAGCCATCAAGTTGTACCATGACGCCAAATCTATTATGCAGAACGCAGGAATGACTCTCCGAAAGTGGACGACAAATTCACAAGCGCTGAGAGATGTGCTACTTCAAGAAGAGGCAAATCCCGAAAACACTACGCCTATCCTTGAACAAAGAACAATGAAGGTTCTGGGAATTGTCTGGGATCCAGAGAAGGATGTTTTGAAGTTTGCGTTGCCAAGTTTACAAAAATTCCTAGAGCTGCATGATGGCACTAAGTGATTTGTTCTACAAGCAGCGTCTAGGATTTTCGATCCCCTGGGAGTCTTGTCGCCCTTCACAATCCGTGTGAAGACACTGTTTCAGAAACTATGGGCGAGAGGAATCACTTGGGACAGTGCTCTAGCCGAGAATCTGAACAACGAATGGCACGAATGGTGTGGTGACCTGTCAAAGATGGATGCACTCGTCATCCCCAGATTCGTATTCCAAGCAGGACAGGGCAAGGACACCCAGATTCATATTTTCTGCGACGCAATCCCAACTGCCTATGGAGCTACAGTGTACGTAACAACGAAGTCCTCGCCACCTGAACAACCTACACTTTTATTGGCAAAAGCACGGGTTGCTCCAATCAAGAAACAAACTCTTCCTCGCCTGGAACTTATGGGAGCCGTCATCACATCGAGACTCCACAAATATCTTGAGAAGACCATCTCATGCATTCCGTATGACTATACGTTGTGGACGGATTCTCTCATCACACTTGCATGGATCAAGAGCGACCCCAGCAAGTGGAAGACTTTCGTGTCCAACCGAGTTGCAGAAATACAAAGGGACACCGATCCTTCTCATTGGAGGTACTGTCCGGGAAGTGACAATCCAGCGGATTTGCTTACCCGTGGCATCACAGGTTCTCGACTGGTGTCGAGTGATTTATGGTGGTCAGGACCAAAATGGTTGACTGAAAACGAAAATGAATGGCCTGATTTGAGGTCGAGTAACGAAGTAGAGACTGACTTGTTGAAAGAAGAGGGAAAAGCAGTTCATGTGATATTGCAAACAACACCACCTGAACCGCTGTTGGATCTGACAAAGTACAGCGAACTCCATCGGGCTTTAAGAGTGACTGGTGCCTTCGATTTCTGAGGAACTGCCAAAATGGCAATACGTCAAATGGACCACTGAGTGCCGAGGAAACCACCGTGGCCGAACTATACTGGATCAACAACGTTCAGAACAGTACTTACCCAGACGAGATAAAATGTCTCTCGAAGAAAGAAAATGTTCACAAACAATCGTCTCTAGCAGAGATGAGTCCATTTTTGGATAGAGACAATATCATCCGGGTTGGAGGCCGGCTTCAGATGCTGACAGCATCGGACAATGTGAAACACCCAATCATATTGCCGAGTGAGCACTACTTCACAACCCTGGTCGTACAGAACGCCCACTCCAAGGTACTTCATCGAGGAGCACGAGACACGTTGGCGCAACTCCGAGAACGATTTTGGATTATAGGAGGGAGAAGATTGGTGAAGAAAGTGATCTTCAGCTGCTGTTTATGCACGAGGTTCCGCCTCACGGCTGACACTGCCCCAACGGCTTCACTTCCTCTTGACCGACTGAAGCAAGGCGCGCCCTTTGATGTTGTAGGCGTAGATTTTGCAGGTCCTTTGTATGTCAAGACAGCAAGCGGCAGTGTGAAGTCCTACGTTGCACTTTTCACTTGTGCAGTGTCTCGCGCCGTTCATCTCGAACTTGTTTCTGCCATGTCTACAGAAGCTTTTCTAATGGCCTTTCGACGTTTCACGGCACGGATAGGGTTGCCAACAACGATCTATTCTGACAACGCACCAACATTCAAGAAGGCATCAAAGGACCTATATGCGTTGTTTAGAGCGATGCAAGAAGATTTTACGTCTCATCTTGCCAAGAACCGAGTAACATGGAAGTTCATTGTTCCCAGTGCCCCATGGTGGGAGGCTGGTGGGAGAGGCTCGTGCGAACGGTAAAGACCACCCTACGGAAAGTGCTAGGGAGGGCATGCCTAACCTCTGAAGAATTATCCACTGTTTTGACCGAGGTTGAAGGAATAGTCAACTCCCGACCTCTAACAATGGACAGCACAGATGCCACGGAGCCCAGGCCGATAACCCCAGGAGATATATTGCTTGGGCAAAGATTGGCGTGCTTGCCCGACCCAACAACGGAGACGGAGCACCAATCCAAAAGAACAGACCTACTCAAGAGGATCAAGTACCGACGGTGCTTAACGGACCACTTTTGGAAACGCTGGCAGCACGAATACTTGTTGCAGCTTCGATCAGCGCACCATATGCAACCAGCTTCTGCGTCAAGCCTAAGTGTAGACGACGTTGTTCTCGTGCACGATAGTAATGCACCGAGACAATTGTGGCAAATGGGAAGAGTGCTGAAGACCCACAGAGGAAGAGACGGTAACATACGGTCCTGTCAGGTAAAACTGCAAAATGGATCGATTACCGACCGACCAGTTCAACGCCTTTATCCCCTGGAGGTCAGCGCGTGACTCATTTCGCGGTCCGGATTGTGTTGAAAATAGATCAAACTGGTCGACTACCAGCGAAGCAGTGTTGAGCAGCACAATGGCAAGCTTGCACACGAGATCGGGGCCTGCGCTCGTGGACGGCGAGCGTGGAGCTCGTTCACTTTTTTCTATTACCATTTCTTTTTTCGCATCGAACGCACGTCGGAATTAAAGCTCTTCAGTTTTGTGAAGCTGCCGCTGTTCCTGGGTCTTCATATCAACAGCATCGACTAGGCCGATTCGTTCCTGCATCACCAGCCGAGCCGAGGATCAGGTCCATGGCAGTCTGCAAAGGTTGTTGATGGTAAGCTGGCTTATATATACAGCTGTGTAATAGCAGCTTGTCCTGGATGACAATTTTAAATGCGTCTTTATGTTTTAGAAAGTGAAATTTGCATGGGCATACTTGCAATGTGAAACCTTGCCAAGCCTGATCTTATCTTTCATCCATCTTGAGATTTCAGTATAGCCGTTTCTGCTGCACACGCACTCCCTATTTCGGCCAGGTAGAGACTTGATCCATATGTAGGTAAGCAGGTGATTATCAACTGCTCACTGCTGTCCGTGGTGACATTCTCTCCTTATCAGACGACTTACCATGCTTGGTTCGCAAAGCTTTTTAAAAGGCGAGCAAGTCAGCTGGTGCTTAATGCTCCCAGTACTGAGCAGTCGACGATCGCTTGTTCACACTTGTAGAGATCACGACTGTATTTCAAGCTCGGCAAGTGTGACACTTATGTGATTCAGCCTAGCTGCGGTGTTCTGAGCGGTATGTATATAGCTAGTCGACTTGTGTACACACAGTGGCTGTGCGGTATAAAACGGGCCCAATTGGCAACTTTAATGCAGTCTCCTGTAGTCCCATTGATGTTTTCTTTTGCTGTGCATGATATGTGTTCACACTTTTTTTTTCCTCGTTTACCGACAGAACTAGCTGTCTGCAGAGAGTAAGTATAAAACATGCCAGCAATCCTCTAAAGCAGTATGCAGTGCAATTTTGGTCTATTGTGGAAGCGAGGAAGAAGGGACTGCCCGTTTGGCTGTTGAGGCTGCGACATAGACATTAGATAGTTTTTCTGAGCATTGTTAGACCCGCTCCACTCAAAAGGAAAGCACCTGCATGCTCACAACGCTCAGTCAGCAACGACCAATCGGAGTGCAGCTGCCGATGGAGCGGACAATTCCTGCATTCCGATGGCCACTGCCGACTGAGCGTTACGCGCATGCCTGGTGGCTTTCTCGCTCAGTGGCTGAGCGGAGCAGTCGTAAAAAACGCTCAGCTAAAACTTTTTCCGATAGGGGGTGGCTGACGCATAGATATTTCAGGCAGAGGGATGGCCGACATTGCTCACATCAGTTCTCAGTATGAGCAGCTCTCTATACTGAGCAGCTCTCTTCGCAATACAGAAATTATGATTCAAGCTTCCTCTACTCCTTTCTGACAGGTTTTGAGACGTGCTCCTGGCAGTTTTGTCGGGCTAGATATTATTATACCCGGATCCACTCCTATAAATTCTAGGAGGATGAAGTCAGTTGCCGCATAGCTTGTGCAAAACTAAATCTGGAACGCACTCCTCCTTTCTGTTTACCACTGTATTCGAAACCTTGTCTCAGTATGTGATGGGTCTGCAAAGAAAATTGACCAGGTAAACAATGTTACTTAGAAAATAGATGTCCCATACATATTAACCTGAATCTACCAACCACTGTACACTGCTTCACTACTGATTTGGAATATTTCAATTGATTTGCCTGAACTGTTCGCACCTGTAAACATCTTAAAGATGATCCGAGGGAATGTTTCTTGTCATGTGATTTCGTATGCTTAAAGTAAGTGAGGCTTGTGGGCATTTTCAAGGGCGATTTGATGATAAACACTAAATGTGAGTTTAATGATGGACGCTGATAATATATACTAGTTTGTAAGTCGCTATTTTTTATTTGATGAAATCTGCAGATGAGTTTTTGTCGTCAGGTTGCCATTATGTGGGAACACGGGGGTCATACTCTGCAGTACGTTATACTTTGACGAGAGACCAGAGTTCTATGGTTTGTAATACGACTTGAGCCGGACGACGTGCACCACCACGGGTCGTGGCTGGCGTCTTGCAGATGGGCGCGTTCCGTCGGGCAGAAATTCGTAGTTCGGTTTCGCCTCAGCGTTCTGTCCTGCTGCTTCGCCACCTTCGATGCCCGCGACGCTCTGTTGTTATCTTTCTTTTTCCTTTTATTTTTGGGCACAAGTTCGCCCCATTAAACGTTCAGTTTACTCAGTCATTCGTCGCCTCATCACTTGTCATTCCTTAAAATATCAAACCGCTTTTAATCTAATATAACAAAATTTATGTGATTAAAAATTGATACACTGTACTCTAGAACTTTAAATTTACATTAACACTTAATGTCAAATTGTTTTCAATAATCGGATGAATATTTGAATGAATCGGCCATGTTTAACAAACATATACAGGTGTAATATAGAATCTTTTTTCTAGCTACAGTGATTTGAGTCAAGCACGCCTTATTTAATTCACACAAATTTGAATTCTGTAATTAAAGTATGATATATTTCCAGCCTGAATGTAAGCATGCAAAGGATAGAATAACATGAAACCATTTTTTAAAACAAGTAAACAATTTTTTGCTTCTCATGAGTCTACTCATAACTTTTAATTTAATTTCTGTTTTCATTTCCACCTGGAATTCCACCAGCCTTAAAGGCAAAGTATTCAAATAAACCTGTGGGTTGGCATAAATTAAACATCAAGCCACCCTTCTCCAGTACAGCGACGCCACGTAGGCTAGCCCGCAATCTGACGCCTGCCAAAGCCCTCCCCAATGTCTTGAATATACTCATTAGAATTGAAAGACCGGAAAGCTCATAATGGAAAACAATGGTTCCTAGATGTTCCTCTGTGTCTTAAAACTCCTAACATCTAAATTTCGTGCAAGCGAGGAGCTAAGAAACTTTCCTATGCAAACGAGCTTAATCGCTTTTTCACAGCGCTTATACCACTCAAATGCGACTCCGTAAGATTGTTCTTGTGTTCGTCCTTAGAACCACAGCGCCCAGTTGGAAACATAGGCATTGTCTCGTAAATCTTAAAGAAACTGTTAACTATGAATTATTAGGCGCTATTGTAAAACGTCTTTGAAACAAAAAGGATGCTTCTCTCAGAAGTTCAAAAGCTTGAAATATATGTGGTGTCTCTCAACTCTTTTAGTTCAATTTTCAAAAGCAAGGTTTCAAAAACAAAATAATCTCCGCGACATCTCTTTTGACAGTTACATCACGTACCAAAAAATAAATAGTATTCAGAAGGGTATTCTTTTTTTACATAAGTATCTTATTTGTTTTTATGTTATAATTATTGGGAGAGATAACCGGCCAAAAATATAAAAATATGCCAAAAGGCATATCAAAGGCATTCCTTTTTCAAGTAATAAAGTTTCAGTTTTTCCTTTTTCAAATAATAAAGTTTAAGTTGCGAGTCAGTGCTTGTCCCGTCTGCGTGTTCCTTCTCCTTCGTCCGTGTTTGTTTGCGCTGTTTTTACATTATGGCCAAAAGGCATATCAAAA